CATTTACAATCACGAGCTCCTCAGTTGCTCATTCCACCACTGAGTTTACAATGACTTATGGGTAGAAAAGCCATACTAAGTAATTTACTACACTGCACAGTCACAGTGTCAATCCATCTCATTGAGGGTCTTCTCCTTTTTTGGTGACCCTCTGCTTTACCAAGGATGATATTCTTCTCCAGGGAATTTTCCCTTCTAACAACATGACCAAAGTAGATGAGATGATGTCTGGCCATTCTCTCTTCCAAGGAGCACCCTGGTTGCACTTCTTTTAGGACAGGTTTGTTCATTCTTTGGACAATCCAAGGTATTTTCAGTATTCTTCACCAACACCACAATTCAAAGGCATCAATTCATTTTTGTTCATTGTCCAGCTTTCACACACATATGAGATGATTGAAAATATCATGGCTTGGGTTAAGTGTACATTAGTCTTGACAGTGACATCCTTTTTTATTTTTAGTTATTGCACCCAGTTAATTCTATTTATATGGACATTCTTATAGCACATACAGATATGTATGTAGAAATATCATCTGCTAGAACTTTATATGGTCATAGGTATAGTCCTTTAAAAGTGATATCTTTGCTCCTTAACTCTTTAAAGATATCTTTTGCAGGAGATTTATCCAGTGCAATACATTCTCTGATTTCTTAACTGCTGATTCCATAGGTTTGATTATGGATCAAAGTAAAAGGAAATCTTTGACTACAGCAATTTTTTCTCCATTTAGCATGATGTTGCTTATTGGTCCAGTTGTGAAGATTTTGGTTTTCATTATGTTGAGTTGTAATCCATGCTGAAGACTATGATTTTTGTTTTTCTTCAGTTTCAAGTCTGCTTTACTTTCAGTAGCAAGGTTGTATCATTGGCATATCACAGGTTGTTAATGAGTCTTTCTCCAATTTTGATGTCACATTCTTCTTCATGTTGTCCAGCTTTTCAGATTATTTGCTCAGTATGCAGATTGAATAAGTATGGTGAAAGGATACAACTGTGATGCACACCTGTCCTTATTTTAAACCATGTAGTATCCCCTTGTTCTGTTAGAAGGATAACCTCTTGGTCTATGTACAGTTTTCTCATGAGCACAAGTGTTCTGGAATTCCCATTTTTAGCAATGTTATCTATAATTTGTTATGATACACACAGCTGAATGCTTTTGCATAATCAATAGAACACAGGTAAACATCTTTCTGCCATTCTTTGCTTTCAGCCACAGTCCATCTGACATCAGTAATGACATCCCTCGTTCCATGTTCTCTTATGAATCCAGCTTGAATTTCTAGAAGTTCCCTGTCCATATACTGCTGTAACCACTTTTGAATTATCTTCAGCAAAACTTTACTTGCATATGATATTAATGATATTATTTGATAATTTCCATACTCTATTGGATCATCATTCATTGGAATGGGCACAAATATTGATCTCTTTTCATTCAGTTGGACAGGTATCTGTCTTCCAGATTTCTTGGCATAAATAAGTGCCTCCAGCGCTGTATCCATGTGTTGAAACATCTCAATGGATATCCTGTCAATTCCTGGAGCCTTTTTTTTTTTTTTTGCCAATTCCTTTAGTGCAGCTTGAATTTCTTCCTTGAATATCATTGGTTCTTGATCATATGCTACCTTCTGGAATGGTTGAGCATTGACCAATTCTTTTTGATAGAGTGACTCTACTTGTTCCTTCTATCTTCTTTGATACTTCCTTCATTATTCAATATTTTGCCAAGAGAATCCTTCAGTATTGCAGTTCGAGGCTTGATGTTTTTCTTCAATTCTTTCAGATTGATAAATACCAAGTGTGTTCTTCCATTTTGGTTTTCTAACCCCGGGTCTTTGCACATTTCATTATAATACTTTACTTTGTCTTCTTGAACCAACCTTTGAAACCATCTGTTCAGTTCTTTTAGTTCATCATGTTTTCTGTTTGCTTAGCTACTCTTCATTGAAGAGCAAGATTCAGAGTCTCTTCTGACATCCATTTTTGTCTTTTCTTTCTTTCCTGTCTTTTTAATAACCATTCACCTTCTTCCTGTGTGATGTTCTTGATGTCATCCCACAACTCATCTGGTCTTGTGTCACTGGTGTTCAATTCTTAAGAGGGTCTATTCTTCAGATAAATCCATTCTTCAGGGGGTCTCTAAATTTAGGTGGGTCACCTTTTAGCTCTTGTGGACTCATTTTAATTTTCTTCAGCTTCAACTTTAATTTGTGTGAGTATTGATAGTCTGTTCCATCAGTTGGCTTTGACTGATGATATTGACCTTCTCCATCATCTCTTTTCAAAGATGCTGTTGATCTGATTCCTGTGTATTCCATCTGGTGAGTTCTATGTGTATAGCCACCACTGATGTTTTTGAAAAAAGGTATTTTCTATGAATAAGTCATTAGTCTTGCAAAATTCTATCAAGAGATCTCTGGAGTCATTTCTATCACCAAGGCCATATTTTCTAACTGCCAGTGACTCTTCTTTGTTTTCAACTTACGTATTCTAATTACCAATAGTTCTCAATACATCTTGGTTGCATGTTTGGTCCATTTCAGACTACAGAAGTTGGTAAATATCTTCAATTTGTCCATCTTTTGCTTTAGTGGTTGGTACATAAATTTGAATAATAGTAGTATTAAATGGTCTTCCTTGTAGATGTATGGATATTATCCTATCAGTGAAAGCATTGTACTTCAGGATAGATTGTGAAATATTCTTTTTGATGATGAATAGGATGCTATTCCTCTTCAATTTGTCATTCCAAGTATAGTAGATCACATGATTGATTCAAAATGGCCAATACCAGTCCATTTCAGCTCAATAATGCTGGGGATATTGATCTTATGGGCTGCTTTTCATATTTGACAGCTTCCAATTTTCCCTGATTCATACTTCCTACAGTCCATGTTCTGAATATTAATGAATGTTTTCAGCTGTTTCTTTCTCTTTTGAGTCATTCCTCATCAGCAAATGAAGATCCCCAGACTTTACTCTATCTATGTCATTAAAGTTGACTCTACTTTGAGAAGGCAGCTCTTTCCTCAATATATTACGAGTGCCTT